CCACAGATGTAGTCAATTTGATTTCTATGTATTCCATCTGGTGAGGTCCATGTGTATAGTCATCTCTTATGCTGTCTAAAGAAGGTATTTGACATGAACAAATCATTGATTTTGCAGAATTCTATCATGCAGTCTCCAGCATCATTTCCATCACCAAGGCCATATTTTCCAACTGCTGATCCTTCCTCTTTGCTCCCAACCTTTGTATTCCAATCACCAGTGATGATCAATACATCTTGATTGCATGTTTGATCGGTTTTAGATTGAAGAAGTTGGTAGCATTCTTCTATTTCATCCTCATTGGCTTTAGTGGTTGGTGTGTAAATTTGAATCATAGTGGTATTAACTGGGCTTCCCTGTAGGCACATGGATATTGTCCTATCACAGATAGCGTTGTACCTCATGACTGATCTGGATATGTTCTTTTTGATGATGAATGCAACACCATTCTTCTTCTATTTGTCATTCCCGGCATAATAAACCATGTGGTTGTCAGATTCAAAATGGCCAATATCAGTCCATTTCAGCTCACTAATGCCTAAGATATCGATGTTTATGTGTTTCATTTCATTTTTGACAACTTCCAATTTTCCCAGATTCATACTTTGTACATTCCATGTTCCGATTTTCAATGGGTGTTTGCAGCTGTTTCTCTTCATTTTGAGTTGTACCCCATCAGCAAATGATGGTCCTGTGGGCTTTTCTCCCACGGGCTTTACTCCATTCACATCATCATGGTCAACTCTACTTTGAGGAGGCAGCTCTTCCCCAGTCGCATTTTGAGTGCCTTCCAACCTGAAGGGCTCATTTTCTGGCACTGTATCTGATAGTGTTTCTCTGCTATTCATAAGGTTTTCAGTGACTAAATATTCCGAAGTAGTTCGTCAGTCCTTCTTTCTATTCTGTCTCTGTCTGGAAACTCATCTGAAACCTTTCAACCATGGGTGACCCTGCTGGTATTTAAAATACCGGTGGCAGAGATTTAAGAATCACAGCAACTCACAAGCCACCACAGTACGACAAACTGACAGATGAGTGGTTCACAGTTATGAGTAGGACTGCTAATCTCAAGGTCAGCAGTTCGAAACTACCAGCAGTGCTACAGGAAAAAGATGAGGCTTTCTGTTCCCGTAAAGATTTACAGCCTTGGAAACCCTATACAGGGTCGCTATGACTCAGAACCTCCTTTACGGCACATAACCAAGAAAAATTGATGCTTTTCAATTATGGGTTGGTGATGACTATTGAATATGCCATGATCTGCCAAATGAGCAAGCAAATATGGCTTGGGAATACAGTCAAAATGCTCCTTAGGATCTAGGCTCATGACACTTGGTCTCACATACCTTGAGCATGTTATGTTGGTATAGCGAAGGGTCAGAATAAAAGAGGAAGACCTTCAATGAGATGGACAGACACAGTGGCTCCCATGATGGGCTCAGAAGTAGAACGGATTATGGGGATAGTACAGGTGCGGCAGTATTCCATTCTGTTGTACACGCTGTCTTTGTACACTGACTTGATGGCATATGACAATGTAGTGAAAAGAATAATGCTACCTTTCACTGGTGATGTAGGAAGCAGAGATTACCTATGGTAACTACTATTGTCAAATCAGCGTCTTAAACTAGATTTAATGATCTCTGAAGATCTGTCCCGCTGTTACTTTCTAGTGTTGGATTACTTTTAATCACAAATTTTAATTTAGGTTCAGTCAGTATTTCTTAGTCTTGTTATTGTAAGTGATGCTGAGTTGATTCCAACTCAGCAATCTTATATAGGGTTTCCAAGGGGTTTAAACTGCTGGCCTTGTGGCTAGCAGTTCAGTGGGATACTAGCCACAGCAGGACTCCTTCTTGTCTGGTGGTGGTTATGTGCCGTGGAGTCGACCCGTACAGGGTTTCCAAGGCTGTAAATCTTTACGGGAGCAGAAAGCCTCGTCTTTCTCCTGCGGAACAGCTGGTAGTTTCGAACAGCTGACCTAAGGTTTGCAGCCCGATTTATAACCACTACGTTACCAGAGCTCATTATTTCTTAGTCTAGGCCTACTGACAGTCTTTAGGGAACAAGTGCAGGGTAAAAAGTACAGTCTTAATAAATATTTGTTCAATAAGTAAGTGTTGAGTAGCCCCGGTGGTGATATAGCATAAGCAAACCACAAGGTCGGCAGTTGAAACCTCACAATTGCTCCATGGAAAGAAGATGAGCCTTTGTGCTCCAGGAAAGATTTTACTGACTCTGAAACCCTTAAGTCAGAATCCACAGGATGGCGGGAGGTTTAGATTGATGGTGTCGATTTCAAATAAATATAGGGTGATAATGTTTTCCTTGTCTTGAGAATTTAAGTGTTCTTTAAATAGTTTTTGTTCGTTTTGTTTCATTTTAAGGAGACAGTAATAAAAGAACAAATAACAAGCTCACGGGCCATTCCCATTAAACTCTATACAGGGTCGCTATGGTAGGAACCGACTGGACTGCACTTAACAACAACAACAACAAACAGGGTTCTGGTGTGACTCTGAGGGTTAATGCGCTGGACTGCAAAGTCGGTTTGAACCACAAGGTCGATGGTTCAAACTCACTAGCCGCTCGTCGGAAACTCCACGACAGCACTTTAACACAGGAGGCCAAGAACCAGCGAGTGCGCAAGAGCAGCAAAACGGAGCGTCAGCCATCCCACTTTCCGCTTGCTGGCCCCGCCCCCTGCACCTAGGCCTCCCAGCCCCTTGTCTCTTCTCGCTTCCGCCCAGTACCTCCGCTTCCGGAAGGGAACTGTGTTACTGAGACACTGATCCGACTGTTTTCCTTCCGCCTGCTCCATTGGTAACCCTGCAATGGCATCTGGATTGGTGAGGCTGTTCCTGCAGGGGCCTCCCCGCCTCCGGGCACCGGCTGCCCCCACATTAACGCCACCGGTTCGGGGCGTGAAGAAGGGATTCCGCGCCGCTTTCCGCTTCCAGAAGGAGTTGGAGCGGTGGCGCTTGCTCCGGAACCCGCCACCGCCAGTGCGCCGGTAGGATCTACCCGGGGAAGGGATCGAAGTGGCGATAGAAGATCTGGGGCCTCTGCATTTTCGGTCAGGCGGTGGGGAAGGTTGCTTGTCGCCAGTGTGCTCCTGGCTTGAACCTTGGAGGTTTGCGATCGAGACACGTTGGGACGTGAACGCATGTCCTGAAGCCAAAGACGTGGATGCCTGCAGTGGTCCGTAGAGGACCGACTGCCTCCATCCTAGTCTGCACCCTTCAGAACTGCGCTAGAATTCTTTGTTCCAGAGTTCTGGGAAAAGAATCGAGGGCGTATAGTATGTTGCAGTGGCCGTTTTGTAATGCCTGAGAATTACTTTGCTGCGCGTTGTCGTTAAGTGCAGCTAAGTCGATTCCGACTCATAGCAATCCTGTATAGGGTTTCCGAGGAGCAGCTGGTAGGTTTGAACCGCCGATCTGCTGTCTAGAATCAAAGAGTAGGTTTAGTTTGGGGTTTTTATCAAAATCTTGTTCTAGTCGTATAAAGTCTGGCAGAAAGAAGTGCAGGTTATTTCAGCCCCAAATGAGTTCATACTGTACGGCCCTGTAACTTGTTTTTATCCTTTAATAATGGATACTTACATCTACTGTCATAGCAGAACGGATAGATGCACTTTATTCTTTAATTCTGGATGCATGTCCTGGTGTGGCACTGTAGGAAAAGCACTGGACCGAAAGGTCAGTTTGAACCTCAAGGTTGGCGGTTCAAACTCACCAGTTTCTCCTCGCAAAATCCTCTACAGTGTCGCGATGAGTGGGAACCGACTCAACGGCACTTAACAACAACGGCATATCCAGTGTACAGATGTACTCCAGTTTATGGGCATTTGAGTTCCATATTATTGCTATTAGAACCAATTTGACAATGAATGTCCTTGAACTTATTGTATCTTTGAGAATGGATACGTAAGAAGGAAATTTTGATAAGTGCTTTAATTTTGCCCTTCCCAAAAGTGAATTATGAGCTGGGCTGCTAACTGTAGGTCAGCAGTTCGAGTCAACCAGTCACTTTGTGGGAGAAAAATGAGGCTTTCTGCTCTTGTAAAGATTTACGGTCTCAGAAACCTATATTGGGTTCCTATGAGTCTGAACTGACTCCAGGCACACAACCACCACCACCAAAAAGTGGTGATATTGTTCATGCTCTCACGGTTGGAAAAGGAGTGTTCCTACTCATAGACTCTCCAGACACAGAATATTATATTTTCCCCCTAATTGACGTAAACCAAACAAAAAACTTTTTTTAAACCTTTATTGTGAATTGAGTGAAGATTTAAGGAGCAGATCCTCACTCCCACATTCAACAAATCATACACTCTTGTTCCATTATAATGATTGCAATCCCCTTCCTTTGACACCAACAGTGTTAACCTCTGTTCATTTTAACTCTTGCTTGCATTCTTCCCTGTGTCTTCTGCTACCTTCATCTTTCCTCTACCAACTTCCCTCTTGTATATTTATTGCCTTCCCCATCACCGAAGTGTACATGTGTCTACCCTTTAGCCAGTGAATAATTTTTTTATATATGTATGTTTTTGTTTGCTTTTTTTTTTTTTTTTATTAAGGTTTCTATTGTGGATTGAGTGAAAGTTTACAGGACAGATCATCAGATTTACATTCAACAAATCATACACCTTGTTTCATTACAATGATTATAATCCCCTCCATGTATCATCAGTTAACAGTATTTCTCTGTATTCACTTTAGCTTTTAAAAACAAAACCAAAACCCACTCAGGCATTTATAATAATTTACACCTCTAAAGGGCACATTCTGCAAGTCTGCCTCCTGGCCACCAGCTCTTAGTCCCTCTTTTCCTATGAATCTAGAGTCCTCAGTTGCTCCCTCTCTCCATGGCCCCATCTCTGCCTCCATCTGACGTTGCTGCTTCTCTGGATAAGGTCCCACATTCTGCTTGTGCTCTTCTCCCTTGATGGTCCTAGGGTCCTCTGTTTCTGAACTCTAAGATTAACCACTCCCCTATTTTTATTACAAAACTTCTACCTTTACAATTGTGACAGTCACAGTTAGTTGTGATAACAATTATTCATTGTTGAATCATAAGAATCTTATCCCCATCTCTTTTAACCAGACCCTTCTTTACATGATGAAAACTATTCAGTGGGGACTCTGTATTTCCCCCCGCCCCCATACTCTTAAACTAAACTCCCTCTTGAAACCTTGTAAGCCAGTCACTTTGTGCCTTTATCGCCCCCTCATTTTAGGTTGTTGTTGTTGTTATGTGCCAACGAGTCGGTTCCGACCCATAGCGATCCCGTATAGGGTTTCCGAGGGTGTAAATCTTTATGGGAGTAGAAAGCCTCATCTTTCTCCCACGGTGCAGCTGGTGGTTTCGAACCGCTGACCTTAAGGTTCGCAGCCCGATTCGTAACCACTACGCTACCAGAGCCAATGTCTAAGTTGCCCATCCCTATCTACCCTGTGTACAGAGGGGAAAGCATTGATACTTGATGTGAAGACTCCTTCCCCCTCTATTGGTGTTTAGAGTTACTACGTCCACGAGTATAGGTCATGTTCATCAAATTGTAGCAATTTACCCTTGTTTCCTTTATCAAAACAATTAAAAAAAAAAAATCTTCCTCTAGTTGAGTTCGCATTATTAAGCCATTGAGGCTAGGTCAAATGGATATTGTCTGCAAGTTTGGGTGTTCTTGTGCATCTCCCCTCACTTCATATCAGCTGGATGCTTCACTCTCAGCTCTAGCCCTCTGTGGCTGTGTCCTTGTCCATAGGCTCAAGTGTCCCCAGGTCTCACCACACTTTGGACCAACTAGCCCTTCCTCTCTCTCATCTCTTGGTCAACGGGAGTCAGTGGAATGTGGCTAACTCAGCCCATTTCTTCATTGCTGCCTTTCCCCTTCTTCCACTCACCAGTAGACCAATGTGGTCGCCAGCAAGCTTACATACCTGTTTGTGTGTTCCCTTTGAGTTTCAATCTTAGAGGGGAGTTTGTCCTGAAGGAACTTATTGCTTGCCTTGATGGCTTGCCAATAAACAGCTTGCTTATTCTTGTAGTAACCAGTCATGCTGACATTTCTATTTTGGGTTTTTCCTGATGATCTTTCTTTGAACATGTATCTTCTGTTGCTCTAGCTGTTCCAGCCTGGTCTGCCTGCCCTTTCTAGTGGGAATCTCCCACCTCATAAGGTTCTGGATGGGATTCAGGATTTCACCTAAGGTCCTATACTCTGCAAAGGCTTTGCAAGAGGCCTATTTCACTGGGCAAGTTCTAGAACTCCTTTTAGGTATTCCAGTCAGTTACAGACTAAAGACGGGCTTACAAATTATCTCTAATCATGTTTCCCAACTTTCATTTCTATCCCATTCAAATGTCTATTTTACAATAGTAGGCAAGGGAAACCAATATTCATAAGACATTCAAGGATTTTAGTATTACTTCCCCTCTTCAAGCGATGCCTAGATCCCTGTATCACAGAACCCTGTTGTTCCAGGGTTGAGCATGCATCACTATTTACCTCTGTCCCACTTAGGCCATGCAAACTTGTCTGTGTTCCCCAATCTATCTTGTTCTTCTGCCTCTTCCCCCTTCTATTGCCCTCCCCAACAGCCGAACTAAACCCCCACCCCAACCCTACTGCTGTGGTTATCTTATATTCTATTAACTCTTCCCTCCATTTAAGACAGTTTACTTTATCCTGTAATTTATCTGACCTTCTCACCACCTGGATCTCTGTTCCTTTGTGCTTACCTTCTTTAACAGTGTAATATTTTGATCATAGACTGACCTCCCAGATCCTCTGTTCTTATAATTTTATTCTGTCAATTGAGTTCAGGGTGAAGCTGCCACATATGTCATTCTCTGGATGTTGTCTGTTCTTGTTGGTTCTCAGTCCACAGAACTTCCTTTAGGATGTTTTTCATAGCCGGGTTGGCTTTGGCAAAATCCCTTAGCTTCTGTTTATCCTGGAATGTTTGGATTACACCATTGAATTTGTTTGACAGCTTTGCTGGGTAAAGGATTCTTGGTTGGCAATTTTTTTTTTCTTTCAGGGTTTTACTATGTCTCCCCATTGCCTTCTTGCCTGCATGATTTTCTGTTGAGAGAGCCGAGTTTAATCTGATTTGCTTGACTTTGTATGTTACACTTCTCTTTTCCGTAGCTGCTTTCAGGATTCTGTATTTATCTTTGATTTTGGAGAGCTTGATTATTACATGTCTTTGTGATTGTCTTTTAGTGCCTATCCTTCCTGGGTTTCGTTGAGCTTCTTGAATACTTATCTTTTTGCTTTTCAGGATGTTAGGGACATTTTCTTCTAGAAGCTATTCAACTATCTCCTTTGTGGATTTGTGTGATTCTTCCTGTTCTGGAATGCCAATAATTCTTGTTATTCCTTTTCACGTTGTCCAACATGAATCTTAGGCCTTCTTCAGGTTTTTTAATCTTTTTTTGTGCTTGCTCTTATACTTTAGTAGAGTTGAGAAATTTATCTTCTGACTCATTAGTTCTGGCTTCTATCTCTTCAATTCTACTCCTTTACCCTTCCAATGTATTGTCCATTTCTGATTTTCTATTATAAATCATTTGGACTTCTTTCTGTAGGTTTTGAAATGTTTCCAATGCTGTATCTATCTTATTTGATTGTTCCTATAGCACTTTACTGACTTCTTCCTTTATTTTCTCAACTGCATTGATACATTTTATAATTATTTGTCTAAATTCCTTCTCAGGCATTTCCAAAGCCTGCCCATCCTCCAGTATGGATTATAGGTCTGCCTCCTGCTCATTTGCCCCAGTCACTTTATCTCATTTCTGTACAGTCATTGCTGGTACGGTCATCTGTTTCTGTTTGGGGGCATATTCAGGAGTTATTTGTGGCCCTAATACATAGATGAGTGTGTATTTTGGTATTTTTTGTGCTTTCTGATTGCCTCCAAGTAGATGTGATTAGGAGATGGGCTTCCCTTTTCACTCTTCTTCCTGAAGAAATTTCAAGATGCCACTGTTGGCCATTGTGATGTAACTCAGGATTTAATTTTCGGCTTATTTCCTTTTAGTCTGTCTGTCCCGCTCCACAATCCCTGTTCAGGCCTTTTGCCTAGTGATAAACAGTTCAGGGCTGGCTGTGGCCATTTTGTGCTGCCATTTGGTTTTAAATGGAAACTGTCCCTTTAAATTTCAAGGATATTTGTGCGCATGCGTAGTAGACCCTCCGGGGGTCGGAGTAGGGTGTCCACTCATTCAGGCACCCCCTCTATTCACCAGAATGGATGTGCGCAGACAGCAAGAGACCAATGAACAGATACAAACAAAAAAAGAATGTCCATGTCTTTATTGCCACAGTTCTGTCAGGCATCTGTGGCTCCTCTGATTCTTAACCGGCTTGGTCTCTCCCAAGATGGCAGCTCTGGGAGCAGCTGAGCATCTTGAATTAGAAAGCAATGGATTTCTTGCTTCTGCTACCAATTCTCCTAGTTGTAAGCCTTCCAATCTTTTAAATATTCTTTTATATGTGGTTCAGAGTTCTAGCACCATCCCCTGAGCCTGCTTGGTCCGGTATTATGTGTTGTTGCTGACAGAGCTCCTCACTGCATGATTTACCATCTTGTTTGTTCCTCCTCCAGTGAGTAATTTTTGCTGCCGCAAACTCCTGGTTATTGTTCTTGCTAAGTGACATCGAGTCAGGATCCAACTCATAGGGACCCTCTACAGGTCATGTACAGGGTTTTCGATGCGCCGCTGGTGAGTTGGAACTGCGGCCCTTTATGTCCCAAACTGACTTTGCAGCTTACCACATTAACCAGCAGCGGCGCACCAGAAGTCCTGGTAACCATCATAAAATGTTTCTTTTAGAATGAAAACCTTTTCTTAACTGTTTTCGAGTCATCTCATACAATATTTGTCCTTTTGTGATTGACTTAATTTCATTCAGCTTAATGTCCTTGAGGTTCATTCATGTTATAAGGTGTTTTGTAGATTCATTGTTTTTCTTACATTGCATAGTGTCCCATTGTGTGCATGTAACCAAGTTTGTTTATCCGTCCTTGTGATGGGCGTTTAAGCTTTCTCCCATCTTCTTGCTGTTATGAATAGGGCTGCAGTTAGCATCAGTGTGCATGTATTTATTCATGTCATGGCTTTCATTTATTGAGGATACATATCAAGTAGCGTAGTGGTTATGAATTGGGCTGCGAACCTCAAGGTCAGCAATTCGAAACTACCAGCTATTCCTTGGGAGAAAGATGAGGCTTTCTGTTTCCATAAAGATTTACAGCCTCAGAAACCCTGTATGGGGTCACCATGGGTCAGAATTGACTCCACAGCATGTAACAACAACAATATCAAGTAGACAGATGACTGGGTCATATGGTATCTTTATTTCCAACTTTGTGAGAAAGCACCACACATTTTCCACAGCGGTCGTACCATTTTACAGTCCCACCAGCAGGGTAGGAGGGGCCCATCTTTCTATACTCTCAGCGTTCAGTTTTAAAACCTCTCTCTTCTTCACATAGCTTTGATTTCTTATGAGGTGAAGCATTTTAGACTTTCAAAATTGAATGGAATTATATGTATTTTATGCCCTTTGTTGAATGTTTAGTTTGTTCTTGCATTTTTACTTAAAATGCTTTTCCTTTAGACTTGTCTTTGTCTGTAAAAAGATCCTTTGTTCAATTCTTATAAAGAATGAGCTTTTTATTTATATGATACCAGATTATTTAAGGGCTGATTTAAACATATGTACATACAGTTATTGCGTATGGATGGAATCAATGAAGTCCCTAGGTGGCACACACAGTTCAGTGTTCTACTAGCCACAAGGTTACTAGTTCAGACTCACACAGAGGCGCCTTGGAGGACAGGCCGGCTGATCTGCTTCAGAAAGGTGACAGCTTTGAAAACTGTGACCCAGTTCCACTCTGTACACGTGGGATTACCATGAGTTGGCCTGTCGACGTCTACTAACAGCAATAACAACCTAGCCAAACAGCAGAAATCAGACACTTAAATATTAGTACAGCGACTTAGACTGTGTTGTTGGACCACTTTAATGTGGCAATTGGTTCAAAGGGAAAAGAATCCAACGTATATACAGAATACAGAATATAGCCAAAGACCACAAGTAATTATCTGACTTGAGTTTTACAGTTTTAAATAGTAGATCTTGTTGGCTTTAAAAAGAAATGCAGCCCCCCCCCCTTTATATATATATAATTGATGAAATTATAACAGTGAAAAACAATTTCAGTCGTAGCAACATGCTCTCTTTACCTTGTCTTCCTGTCTCTTATCCTGTATTTTCAGTTCAGAGAAGCCCAACTGGGATTATCATGCTGAAATACAAGCATTTGGACCTCGGTTACAGGAAACCTTTTCCTTAGATCTTCTGAAAACTGCATTTGTTAATAGTTGTTATATTAAAAACGAGGAGGCCAAACGCCAGCAACTTGGGATAGAGAAAGAAGCTGTTCTTCTGAATCTTAAAGATAACCAAGAGCTGTCTGAACAAGGGACATCTTTTTCACAAACTTGTCTCATGCAACTTCTTGAAGATGCATTCCCAGACTTGCCCCCTGAAGGCATCAGAAGTCTTGTTGACTTTCTCACTGGTGAAGAAGTCGTGTGTCATGTGGCCAGAAACTTGGCCGTGGAGCAGTTAACCCTGAGTGCCGAATTCCCAGTGCCCCCGACTGTCCTGAAGCACACTTTCTTTGCCGTCGTTGGAGCCTTGCTGCAGGGCAGTGGACCTCAGAGGACTGCGCTTTTCCTCAGGGTGGGTAATCAGTCATTGTGCCTGCTCGGAGGTGGGCAGATATAGCAGATCATGCTAGTCATTGCTCTCTTTGTTATAACAACTTTGAAAGCTATATGTGAATTTTCCACCTCCAAAAACTCAGGAAGCCCTAGGGCCTTTTTATAATAGGGTCTTAATTATGATATGAGTTCGTTCTTAGAATTGTTACATGCATATTACTTTGATGAACCCAATGCCATCAAGTTGACGGTGAGTCATAGTGACCCCCCTAGGACAGAATAGAAGCGCTCCCTGGGTTTTCCAGGACTGTAAATCTTTATGGGAGCAGTTAGCCTCATCTTCCTCCCATGGAGCAGCTGGTGGATTTGAACCACTGACTGGATTTTACTATTTCAGTTGTCTCTAATTAAGAACAGCATTAGAGGTGAATTTTCTTGAAGACAGCAAGCCAAGTAGTGCCTATGCTGTAGTGCTCAGATGTTTGGTGAACAAGTGAGTCCTAGGTCACTGTGCCAGAGCCTGGTGTGCTTAGGGAATTTCATGCTTAAAATACCAGCTGCTGTTCTACTCTTCCAAGAGATCAAATCAAATCAGATTCCTGGGTCCATGCGATATAAGCTCACGAAGAAAACCAGATGCACCGATGTCAAGTTGCTTCTGACTTGGCTATCATGTAGAACAGTGTAGAACAGCCACTACTGTTTGCAAGTCTGTAAATCTGTCCAGGAGCAGAGCGCAATAATCAGGGCACCAACCAGGCTAAAAGGACCAATTGGTGAGTTTGAAACGCTGACCTTATAGTTAGCAGTCCAGTGCTTATCCTACAGCACCACACCAGGATAGGTCAAAAAAGTCTTGAGTCAGACATTTGAGTGTAAAGTCCTATAAGCTAGCATCTCTTGCTGCTGAAATCTATTTATGTTTAGTTTTGATCCCAGATTGTATACTTTTCATAGAGAAGGATAACTGCGTAAACCAACACTTCAGGCTTTGTTCCTGGATTCAGACCTGGCTTCCCCTCCCTGAAACAGTCTGTAATAGGAGAGCTACCTGTGTTGTAATGAAATTTGCTTTTAATTTCATGGAACTAAGAGATCTTTCTCTAAACATTGTCTCCTCTGGTGTGGCACTGTAGGATAAGCACTTAACCGCAAGGTCAGTTTGAGCTGCAAGGTCAGCAGTTCAAACTCACTAGCCACACCTCAGAAACCCTATTCAGGGTTGCTGTGAGTTGAAACCAACTCAGCACTTAACAACAACAACCCCCATTCACAAGGCGTTCTATTAACATAATGGGTTGTGTTATACATTGAACTATTAACCACAAGGTCAGCAGTTTGAATCTACCAGCCACTTTGAGGGAGAAAAATAGGGCTTTCTGCTCTAGTAAAGATTTACCCCCTTGGTAACCCTGTACTAGCTTGCTATGAGTTGAAACCAACTCCATGGCATGCAGCCGCGGCAACCCTCATTCACATACCCTGTTAGCATACCGCTAACTTTGTTAACATGGTTATTTACCAGATTACCAAATAGATGCTTTTGTGAAAATTATTGTTTGTTTCTATATTTTGTATACAGCATAAATTAACTTTGGCAAAACGAATTCCTCCCTGATTTGAATGTTCATAACTTGCCCATTTTTGTAGTGTTTTGAAGTATTTTGAAGTCATAAACAATTTATGAGGAATTAATTATTCTTTGAGGGTAGTGTGGTGGCTCTGAAGAATAAGTACTGGACTGCAAACTACACGGTCAGTGGAAGATGAGGCTGTCTGTTCCTGCAAAGATACACAGCCTCAGAAACCCAGTCAGTGGCACTATGAGGTGGAAGTGACTCTATGTTACCTAGCAACAGCAATTATTCTCTGAATTGACTAAATCATGAAGTGGTAGTATCTAGCGGCCCTGAGTGTCTTCCCCAACTCTTTCTCTTTCTTCCTTTTTTAAAAAGTTTTTATTGTGCATTGAGTGAAAGTTTACAGGGCAGATCATCAGTTTTACATTCAACAAATCATGTACTTTGTTTCATTACAATGATTATAATCCCCTATTTCTGCTCCCATAAAGATTTACAGCCTCAGAAACCCTATACAAGGTCACTGTGAGTCGGAACTGACTCCACAGCACATAACAATAACAACAATGTACCACCAGTTTACAGTATTTCTGTATATTCATTTTAGCCCCCTTTTTTTTTTTTAAACATTCGGGCATATAAATTTACACCACCAAAGGGCACATTCTGCAAGTCTGCTTCCTGACCGCCAGTGCTCAGTCCCTCTCCTCCCATGAATCTAGAGTCCTCAGCTGTGCCCTCTCTCCATGCCCCCATCTCTGCCTCCATCTCCGAGTCACTCCTTCTCTGGATAACGTCCCACATTCTGCTTGTACTGTTCTCCCTTGATGGTCCTAACGTCCTTTGTTTCTGGACAGTAAGATTAACTACTCCTTCGTTTTTGTTACAAAACTTCTACCTTTACAACTGTGACAGTCACAATTAGCTGTGATAACAATTACTCACTATTGAATCATGAGAGTCTTATCCCCATCTCTTTTCACCAGACCCATATAGACAAGATGAAGACTATTCAGTGGGGACTCTGTATTCCCCCTCACACTCTTAAACTAAGCTCCCTCTTGAAAACTTGTAAGCCAGTCATTTCGTGCCTTTATTGCCCCCTCATTTTAGGTAGCCAATGTCTAAGTTGCCCATCCCTGTATGCATTGATGTGAAGACTCCTTTCCTCTCAGTTGGTATGTTGAGCTACTACATCCACGAGTATAGGTCAGCTTCATCAAATTGTAGCAATTTACACTCATTTACTTTATCAAAATTTTTTTTTTATCTTCCTCTAGTCTAGTTTTGATTATCAAGCCATCAAGGCTAGGTCAAATGGGTACTGTCTGCATGTTTGGGTGTTCTTGTGAATCTCTCCTCACTTCATATCAGCTGGATGCTTCACTCTCAGCTCTAGCCCTCTGTGGCTATGTCCTTGTCCATGGGCTCCAGTGTCCCCAGGTCTCACCACACTTTGGACCAATTAGCCTTTCCTCTTTCTCTCATCTCCAGGTCAGCGGGAGTCTATGGACCATGGTTGAACTCAGCCCCTTTCTTCATTGCTACCTTTCCTCCTCTTCCACTCACCAGTAGACCAATGTGGTCCCCAGCAAGCTTACATGCCTGCTCATGTGTTCCCTTTGAGTTTCAGTATTGGGGTGGGGGGGTCTCTTTTATTTTTTTTTAATGACTTCTGACCTCTTCCCTTAATGACTTTTTACATGAGGTTTACACAAATTTTTACCATTTATTTATCAATCCAGCTTTGAAACCATTTTTACCCCTTACTGATAAATACCGAAATTTAAATGGTAAAATAGGGTTCTGTCTTCTTTGGAATTTTGGGGTGGTTCATGCTGCTTGAGGTCAGCAGTTTCCTCAGACTTTTGAACATTATTTTATTCAACTTTTTTTGCCAATAATGAAATTTTTATTACATGAAGAAACTGTGTGAAAAAGAATAGTACATTGTTTTGTTTTTCCCTTTCCCATTAAGATTTTTGTTTCTGTTAAAAGTATACTTTTATTTGTGGTCCTAATTTTTGTTATACTAATTTTAATATATAAATTATATTTTCACATGCAGGATTTCTTAATTCCTCAGATGACTGGAAAAGAGCTCTTTGAGATTTGGAAGATAAGAAACCCTATGGGGCTGCTGGTGGAAGAATTAAAGAAAAGGAATGTTCCTGCTCCTGAATCTAGACTCACCAGGCAGTCTGGATGTACCACAGCTCTGCCGTTATATTTTGTTGGTTTATACTGGTTAGTCAAATTTTAGTCTTTACTTCATAGTGTTGATTGGGAGCTTTAAAAACACTATTCTCCAGAAAGAGACGGGAGGGGACCGAGACCATTGCCCTTGACCGTGCTGTAGGTCTGCCAAGGAACTCACTGTCGTGGCCTCATTTTCAGTCAAGCAGTAGATAGGTATATGGGGGGACAACACTAGTAAAGGAGCTCTGGTAACGTAGTGGTCACGAATTGGGCTGCTACCTTTACAGTTAGCAGTTCGAAACTACCAGCTGTTCTACAGGAGAAAGATGAGGCTTTGTGCTCCCGTAAAGATTTACAGCCTCAGGAACCCTATGTAGGGTCGCTATGAGTCAGAACCAGCTCCACGGCACACCACCACCACCACCACCACACTAGTAAGGTATGCTTACCATGGAACGGTCGATCAAAAGGGCAGCGTTTATCCACGGATGAAGTTGAGAAGGGATGGGAGGTAGATGGGATGGAAGTGGGGTAGCTGCTGTTGCAGTCATTAAGATGAAACAAAGGCTATGATTTATTAAATGTAAAACTGATGATTTACTCTGTGAACTTTCACTCAATTTAAAAAAAGTGCGGTGCGGTGGGGTGGGGTGAGAAATAGATTAATCTCAGTTCCTTAACAGTAACCTCTAATTGCATTCAGAGAGTTTTAAAGTGCTTATACTTAATTTCTTTTACTACTTTCCTGCTGACTGTAGTAATTCTTAGGAAAAGGCAGGTTATCTGGTTTTGCTTTAAAATAGCTTTTGCTAGCCAACTATTCATTATAGCGTTTTGTGGAGTTTATGCTAACCTCAAATCTTCTGTATAAAGACTGCATTTTGATTTGTGTGGGTTTGACTTTGAACTCTAAACCAGTCTTGGCTATAGCTTCAACTGAGCCCAGCACTAAAAAAAGAAGAGCTTAATTGGCCATTAAAATGTACAAATCAACCCCAGTTGAGAACTTTTTTGTTAGTAAAAAGTAGGCCTGCCGCTTGATTAATTTCAGTTGGATTAAAGGAGCTCTGGTAGCGTAGTGGTTATGAATTGGGCTGCGAACCTCAAGGTCAGCAGTTCGAAACTACCAGCTGCTCCGTGGGAGAAAGATGAGGCTTTCTGCTCCCATAAAGATTTACAGCCTCGGAAACCCTGTACAGGGTCGCTATGAGTCGGAACCGACTCCACGGCACATAACAACAACAACAAAGTATTAAAATGTAAACATTGAATATCTAAAATAAATTTGGGGCAAGACACGTTCCCAGGAAGTAGTTAAATATAATTGTAAGTTAAATATAAAAAGTAACACACCCATTTCACATTTGTAAACTAATAGGATTATTGTACTTCAATGTGCACATCATTTGCTTCCTTGTAGAAACCTTTTTACAATTTCAAAGAAGAATTTGCTAATCCTGGCGTGTCACTGCGAGTTAATGAGGTGGACTGCAAGATGGGCAAGGTTGGAGGTTCAAGCTCACCAGCTGCTCCTCAGAAACCCTATACAGGGTTGCTAGGAGTGGGAACTGACATGGCACTTAACAATAACAACAGTAGAAGTACCAGTAATGCAAAGGAATTCCCATTTTAATTTTATCTATTTAAAATACTCATAGAACACTGTTGTTGTTTTAAGTGCCCTCGAGTTGGTTCCCACTCCTAGCGACACTGGATACAGGGTTTCGAAGGAGCGTCTGGTGCCTTTGAACTATCGACCTTGTGGTTAGCAGTCCAATGTTTCTCCTCCAACACCACACCAGGACTCTTCATAGAGTAGTCAGTGAGTCAGTGAGTGGTGTACCACGGAGTCGGTTCTGACTCGTAGCGAGTCTGCACAGTGTTTCCGAGGTTGTGAATCTTTATGGGAGCAGAAAGCCTCGTCTTTCTCCTGCGGAACCACTGGTAGTTTTGACCTTGAGGTTAGCAGCCCAACTCATAACCACTATGCTACCAGAGCTCCTTCATAGAACACTACCAGTCAGAATTTAGTGAGTCCTTAACTGTGCTGTCTAGGTATCTTTTGGAAACATGTTAGAGCGTGAATTATAAATATGCAATATAAGGTTCTCCCCAACTCTAAGTGTAAGATTTTGCATGTCTATAACTCTTCATTTAAAACGTAGAACTGATGACTTAATTTGTTTGAAAACTTAAATGGGGATTCTGGTGTGGCATTGTAAGATAAGCACTGGACTGCTAACCACAAGGCTGGTAATTCAAACTCACCAGTCCCTCCTCGGAAACTCTATATAGGGTCACTATGAGTCAGAACCAACATGATGGCACTTAACATCAACAAAGGGTAAATGAAAGGCATCTATTTGTACTGATCTTATCTTTACTCAGCTTATAGCACAGGCTCAAAATAAGAAGCAAAAACAACCAAATGATCTAATCATCATTCCCAGGAGTTTATAAATATTTAAAATAATATCATAAATTTAATAAATAGTCACAAAATATAATTTCAGATTTTTACAACAAAATATTTTATTTGCATATTCTTCCGTTCTCTCCTCAGGATTGAAAAATAGATAACCCTATATAGGTTTGCTTTACTTTTTTGAGTTAAGAATTTGGGGCCCAGTGGTGGTGGTGGTGGTTGGTGGATATGTGCTACTAAGTTGGTTCCAGTTCAGAGCCACCGTGTACTGGGTTTCCAGGGCTGTAAATCTGTTTGGGGGCAGAAACCTCCATCTTTCTCCTAGAGATTCAAATCACTGACCTTGTGGTTAGCAGCCCAGATCATAATCTAGTACACTACTGTCTTTTTGTTGTTTTTAAGTGCCATTGAGTCGGTTGCGATTCATAGCGACCCTGTATATGGTTTCTAAGGAGTAGCTGGTGGGTTTGAACTGCCGCCTTTGTGGCTCAAACTGACCTTGTGGTCAAGTGCATGATCTTGCAGTACCATACCAGGACTCCTATGCTACTGCCTAGAGACGGTTTTTAAAAATATGTTTACTATGAAAATGTAAATATTTCTTTGTCTGGTTATTATATATTTGCAACAGGCTCAGTTCAAATCCTAAAGATATTATACCCAAACATATTGTGTTAGTTATGTTGGCCAGTATTACCAGTTGGAGTCCTGTTGTGGCACTGTGGGTTAATGCTTTGGACTGCAAAGTCATTTGAACCGCAAGGTCGGTGGTTCCAGCTCACCAGCCACCCCTCGGAAACCCTATACAGTATTGCTATGGGTCGGAACCGACTCGACGGCACTTAACAACAACTACATTTCTACCAGATAAGACTTAGAAAGCACAGCTGATTTGCGTACTATGTTTTATGAGGCACCATGTAATGTAAGACTCCCCTTTGTGTTCCTGCTAGTGATAAGAAGTTGCTTGCTGAAGCACCTGGGGAAACAGTATTGGTTGCAGAAGAAGAAGCCGCTCGCGTGGCCCTCCGGAAACTGTTTGGCTTCACTGAGAACAGACGACCCTGGGACTACACCAGGCCCAAAGAGACGCTGAGAGCCGAGAAGACCATTGCTGCTAGCTAGCAGATTAAGATGTGGGACGTGCCATTTGTGAAGAAAACAATGAGACAAACAGCAACAATGCCCAAAGCTAGACATTTTGTAATTGTAAAGAAATAGATCTAATTCTTTATCTTGTGTTCTTAATATTGTTATTAGGTGCCGTCGAGTCAGTTCCAACTCATAGTGACCCCATGCACAGTAGAATGTGCCTTCCTCACAATTGTTACGCTTCAGCCCGTTCCTCCTAACACTGTGTGTCAGTTTATCTTAAAATTCATTAAGTGCTGATTGGCTCATCGGAGTCCTGGTGGGGCGCTGTGGGTTAATGTGCTGGATTGCAAAGTTGGTTTGAAGCACAGGGTCAGTGGTTCAAGCTCAGCAGCTGCTCCTAGGAACCCCTATGCTGGGTCTGTATGGGTTGGAACTGACTCAGTGGCACTTAACACCAACAATGAGTCATCAGGTGACTTTATACCAACAGGTCGGGGTTTTTTGTTTTCAGTCAGGTTACAGTTTTGTTTTTAAGTGATTTTCTTTTGCCAAAGTTCTATTTTGACTTTTTTTCAAGAATTATTTCCTAAAGCCCTTGATTTGATTGTGTGATTATATACCCACTGAAACTCAGCCACTGCCAATGAGGTGGTTCCGACTGGTCTGGACCCTGTAAGGCAGGCAGGGTAGAAGTGCTGTACATCTCTACGGGAGCAGACTGCCTCATCTTTCTCCTGTGGAGTGGCTGGCAGGTTAGAACCCCCGACCTTACAGTTCGCAGCCAAATCTTTTAATCACTGTGCCACCAGGCATTTCATAATTTGTATAGTTAGGTGTATTTTATTTCTCTCTGAGTGTGAAGTATTGTAATTTAAATAGGAGCTTTAGGTGGACTTTGTAGTAACAACAATAAAGTTGTTCTTTCACTAATTGTTACCTTGTAATTTAATTCACTTTACCCAGGAATGCTAGGAGGTTGATAAACATTGTCTCTAATATAATAACTAATACAGCAATGTTATAACTCCTATTTCTAGAAATATAAGTTGCAGATTACAATAGATATTGACATGATCTCTAGATTCTGTCTAGCTTTATAATGTGGGAACTGCTATATGTTTCTAGATAATTCCGTTTCTTTAAAATACAGAATTGACAGAAGAGGCTAATTTTATGGTAAGAAAAAAATTTCAAAAGCGGCTCACAATATTACTACTAATGAAGGTTTAAGGAGCCCTGGTGGCACAGTGGTTAACCATTCAGCTGCTAATGCAAAGGTTGGTGAACCCAGCAGCCACTCCACGGGAGAAAGATCGGGCAGTCTCTCAGTGAAGACTGACAGGAAAGCCTATGGCACGTGTACGCTGTCTTATAGTGAGTGTCACTATGTGTCAGAGTTGACTTAATAGAAGTTGGTCTAATGTAGGTTTGTTGTTGTTGTTAAGTGCCATTGAGTCAGTTCTGACCCATAGTGACCCTGGATAAGGGTTTCCAAGGAGCGGCTGGTGAGCTTGAACCGCCAACCTGGCAGTTCAAACGGCTGTGTAGTCTGGTGCATTACCTACAGCGCCATACCAGGACTCCAAAGTCATGTGCAAACACTGCCCTGGGCACAGCAAAGACTGTGGAGTGCAAAGTTTAAAGGAGAAATCCCCATTGACTGACTTGGTTGAATATATTTCACACTCTTTCTCAGTCTGTGTCCTGAGTTAAGCACTCTGGTAGTGTAGCGGTTACGAATTGGGCTGCTAACCTCAGGGTCAGCAGTTTGAAACTACCAGCTGTTCTGTGGGAGAAAGATGAGGTTTTCTGCTCCTGTAAAGATTTACAGCCACGGAAACCCTGTACAGGGTCACGATGAGTCAGAACCAACTCCACGGCACATAACAACAACAACTCTAAATCCTAAAAAGTAGAACACAGAGATCAAAGATAAACTCAGTAGTAAGATGCCATTTAGGTGTGTCACCCACAAGCTGTCGGGGGTCCTATGTCGGGGTCCCGCCTCAACAAAGGAGTGCCTCAATGAAGCGTAGCGTGGCGTTTTAACGTGAGTGGGAAATCTGGTAGGCGAAAGAAATAGATTAAACACAAAGAAGACAGACACACAAGTTTGATGCAAGCTGTCAGGCTAGCTAGCACACAGAGCTAGCTAAAGCCCAGTCTTATTGTCACAAGAAGGAAATTGACAAAAAAAGACAGTAATGACAAAAATGTGATTATTCATTCAAAACAGGACACGGGTTTACTCAAGTGATACAGAAAATGATGATTCACAAATTTGTCCTTAACATATTTTTGAGTACATCATGATTTACCTAATAACCTAAAATTCTTATTTCTATAAAAAAGTTTAAGCAAGCAATTATAGATTATATATTAACTTCTAGGTCTGTGTAACCTAGGGCAGCAACTTGCTGTTTCTCAAAGGTGTTTAACATATTTTCAACACTTAATCACAAGTGGGTGAAGGTCAGGGGCTTTAGAGTTTTTATAAAAGACTAAATTATACTTTCTAAAGAAGTTTAAGTTGCCTCGGTATCTATTGCAGGCAGAAAATACATGCTTTTGTTAGTGAAGAAGATTTCAGATACCTGGCTTCAATTATCAAACTAATAATTCTTTCCTCCTTACTTCTACAATTTCAGGGAAGGTGAAAAACAGGTTTTGACTTTTCTAAGAAGGTGCGGTCTCACCTTTACATTCTTTTAACCCCGGTCCAGTTTCTATATCTAGATATGACAATGTTCATTTCTATTATATTCCCAATATACCTTGGGGGGAGGGGGAGGAGCATCTGGATTAAGTTGATTATACCCGGAGGCGGTTTGGGGGAGCAGTCACCATTGTTCTAATTCATATGATCAGCCCAAGCAATTTTCCTCGTGAATCATATGAGGAAGTTTTACTAGTTAATGCAAATGCCTAAGGTAACAATTTACAGTTTATACCTTCATATCACAATTGTTTAATAATCAAGCAGCGGGGGATTGTTTATAGTGCATAAAACTACTACATATAATAAAACTCCCCCAAAAAGTATGATCACAATAGTTATGCCCAGAGGTGGTTCGGGGGTGCATAAAATTAGCACATACAGCAAGATTCCCATGAAAAACATCAAGAGTACAACAGACGTACACAGGGGTGTCTTCAGGGGGTAGCTACTAGTTTCAGTGTTATTATTGTACATAGACATTAACAGCTCATGTATCTGTTTAATATTAAACATTACCAAGTAATTGGTTAAGAAACAATTGTTACATATTTTCTGCGTTGCTACATCCTGTTTCTCTGTACTTTTATTTTTCATAGCCTCACACACAACTCTTGTTGCCGGGGCAGTGACATTTACATGAGAGCCATTGATCCAAACATTGTGCGTATTATTACTGAAAACAATAATTTTCCCAGAAGCTACAGTTACCGGAGTTAAGAGCATACAGGACAAGTACAGAATGCACAAAAGTACAATTAAAGAAAATTGCACAAAGGTGGCCAAACAGTGAGCTCGCCAAAGCCATGAACCTGGGACCACGAGGGGGTCACTTCTTGGGCCCTCAGGGTCCATGGCCAGCAAGTCCAAGGAGGGCCCAAAGACTGGATTTTTGTCCACGTTGTCCCTGGGCCTCAGCCTCTCAGCGCTTGCCACGCATGCTGCAGTTGCCAGCAACAAGCCAACATGCTTTGGTAGCATTTTACTGATGGTGTAGGAGTTTCTGAGGAGCCAAATTGAGGGAATGCCCTGGAGCCCCATCACTCTTCCAGCTTCTGTGAAGGCTCAGTCTAGCTGAGTACTGTTCACCGGGCTGGTTTTCTTCTACATGAATATTATTATTAAAGGTCTCCACAAAATCCCGTTGCAGACTCAGCCATCCCTTTTTGCTTCTTCAGAAACAGTGCTGATAATGTGATCCCGCATTTCTCCTTCCAGGGCAGTTTATAGGACCTTCACTTCTCGGGCTGGAGGGGACCCATCCTTACCTGTAGGTTTTCATGTTTCTGAATCTCAAAAGTTTGTGTATTTACATACGAAAAGTCTTTTCAAGTGAAGAAATTCGTATTTTTTTTTTATAAAGAATGTGGTTTTAACCCATATATAGGTGTTCTTTCAAGATAAATTGTTAAACCATCCTTTTTTAAAAACCCAGTATGGTGAACTGGAATGTAGAAAACACCATGCATTTTTGCAAACAGAACCAACCTCTGGATTAACTTTTAAACTTGTTTTATGAGAATGAATGGTTGGCGGGTTGAGACCACCAACTGCTGGTGAGTCTTTCTGCTCTGCACAGATTTATAAGCCTCAGAAACCCTGTGGAGCAGGGGTGGGAACCTTTTTTTTTGGCTAAAATTTATAACATCATTCATGGGCCAAACAAAATTATCAACTTAAAAATTAGCCTGCTATATTTGGTCAGACATTTAATTAACTCACTCCTGGTGCCGCACTGTGTGTGGGTTAACGCGCTGGACTGCAAAGTCAGTTTGAACCGCAAAGTCGGCGATTCAAGCTCACCAGCCTTTCCATGCAAACTTTATACAGGGTCACTCTGGGTCGGAACCGACTCAGTGGCACTTAACAATGCGATGACTGGAACTGCAGTTGCCTTAGTAGGGACAGACCAAATAATTTCACAGGCCTTATGGCCTGCGGCCTAGACAGTTTCTACCCCTACTATTCAGGGTCGCTATAGGTCAGAACTGACTCAACAGCACTTAATGACAATGAGAATAAATTGGGAGTGTGGTGGCTCCATAGAAGCACTGGACTGTGAACCACAAGGTCGGCAGTTCGAGCCTACCAACCTCTCTGGCAGAAGGAAGAGGCTCTCTGTTTCCATGAAGATTCACAGCCTTGGAAAACCTATACAAGGAGGCTGAGCCAGAACTGATTTGACGGCTCTGGTAGTGTTGTTAAGTACCGTGGAGTCGGTTCCGACTCATAGTTACCCTGCACAGGGTTGCTATGAGTCGGCACCAACTCCAAGGCACGTAACAACAGCAACAATTTGAAAATAAATACTGCT